AGGAACCTTGCTCCTTTGTTCTTATTGAAAAGCCACTTAGTGGTTAATTATCACATGAACCAATTTTGTGGCCCTGCAGTCAAAGTCAGTCTGTTGTTTACAGGCTTTTCCCTCTGCCTACTGCCTGCTTGCAGGAAAACTGATATTTATGAGGCCCCTCTAATTAACTAACTTAGAGAAGAAAGCTGGTGGCTCCTCAGCCCCAGTATTAAGCTCCTTTAGAATTCTCAGATGGACCCTTTGAGCTTGGGGATGTTGTACTTCATGGCCACATCTGTTTGCTGCATGCTCTTGTTGGTCAGACAGGAACAATTGCCTACATTTCCTGCAGTTTCCCATCCCTAGCCACAGCTCCGTATATACACTTGGTCTCTCGCTGAACTGCCTACAGCTCTTCCCCCCCACTGAGCCCTCGGAACACATCACTTCCTTTTCCCCAGGGCTTCAGAAATGTCTTTGATGTATACCACATCCAGCCAGTCCTGCTGTAATCTCTGCAGTATTTCTGCAGAGCCTGTCCAGTCTGATCTGTCCCCTACCCCTCTTTCCTTACAGGTTCCAGCATTTAGAGAATTCAGAGCCTGAAGCTCAACCCTCTGGCACCCAGCCTCAAACTTACCAACTGATTTACATAAGAGAGCTGGTGGTTTCATTAGTAGAGAATGGATAGGATAGGAACCTGCTGGGTTTCTTCTGACTTGACTTTTCCCTGGCCAAATTGAGAAGCTTGGTGGCACTTGAGAAAAAGCCTCTGAACACCTTTGAGCTTGGCTGGTCTGGGCTCCCACCCCCAACACCCTACTGACTGGCCCGTTCCCTCTTGTTGATGTTTGCAAGGCAACTGCATAAGCCTCATCTCCACTGCACATTGTAGGCCATGCTCCTGCTGATAGCAATGACAAGAGTGCTGATACAGATCGGGCCCCAACATCTTTACCACCATGACATAATATAACCCTGGGGAGGTCCTTTTATCTCGGAGACCAGAGTCAGAAAGGAGATCAGTTCAGAGAACTCCAGGGACAGGAAGTACCAAGGTACTCTTGGATTTTAAGCTCAAAGGCCTTGTCTGAGCAGCCCTCCCAGGCTCCAGGTCCCTGATGCACCTGACACCTGTGCTCTGTATGCGGGGTGTGGAGTCATTGCTCTGGTTTACCCAGGCTTCTGCACCAGCCTAGAGACCAGAAGGGTATTGATTGCCTGCTGACCTCCTGGTAGCCAACGTGCCCCATGGTGCATTGCTGCCTCCTCTTCATTAGCTCATTGAGTGCTGAGCTGCTGAACACCCCCTGTGCTCTCTGGGCACACATCTGGGTAATTGTGCCAGCTCCCTGCTGCCAGCTCCCAGTTCCTTTGGATAGTTCCCCATTACTAATCCCCAGCGCATCCTAGGACCAGGGGGGAAAATGTATCTGTGTGAGTCAGCCAGAGGAAACAGTAAGTCCCAGCAGGCTGTGTACAGGCTGGAACAAAGTGACACAAACCCAAGGAGATGTGACGCTTTGTCAGCCTACAGTGGGCTCCTTTATATCATGCCAAAAAATGAGGA